CAAAGGTTAATAATGAATGATTATGAGACTGAAAGAAATGAAAGGAGGCAGATGGTTCTGCTGGGAATGGTTGAATCTGAATATGGGCTGGATTATGTGGATGGAGAAGATCCAGGTAATGAATCTGAATACGTGCTGGACTATATATATATTGATGGAGAAGGCCAGGTAATGAATCTGAATATTGGCTGTATTAGGTTGATTGAGAAGTTCCAGGTATAAATAATCAGAGCTGACAACTTTAGAATTGTATCCTGATTGCTTTATTTGAATATCCAATGAGGACACTTTTAACGTCCCCCTTAATCCGCTCTTTTTCACTTTTTTTTGGGTATCTGTAATTTGTTTGACCAGTGAGACTCCACGCATTAAGTGGTGCGCAAAATTTCAAATTTCCCGGCTTTTCTGATTGACTGTTCCAGTTTCTCCAGACGCCACTTGGATTGGTTTTGTTCATTCAAACTTAAGATTAAATTTATCTTGAAATTAACAGATTCAGAAAGAGAAGAACAAGCATTGATCTCGATATCCACAATTGTTAAGTTTTCAGCTCAGAGGTCGGAACCTTTATCAGGGAATAATTTTAACCAGAAAACACAATGAAGACTCTTAATTTGAAGCAATGATGGGATGCCCGTTGATCTGTGTTCATAAATATAAATAGTTTGTATAACTGTAACTTTCAAAGATATCCAATTCAGGATTTAACTTAATCCGCAAAGACTCAAAAAAGATGCTGATAGTGGTGTCGAAAGGGATTAACACTAACAAAATTTCCGATCTCAGAATATTCCATTAAAACAACACTTTTTTCAACATTTTCTTTTATTTACTTTTAACACTTTTTGTTGCATTGTACTTTTTGAATATTTTTTAGTTTTAGGCCCATTTATTTAGTTTAAGTTCTACTAATTATTTAGTTTTAGGCCTATTTATTTTGTTTAAGTTCTACTATTTATTTAATTTCAGGCCCATTTATTTAGTTTAAGTTCTACTATTTATTTAGTTTTAGGCCCATCTATTTAGTTTAATTGTCCCATTCAGATCAGAAATATTCGAAAAAAGAGTATATTTTTTCGCTTCCAAAGAATGGAAGTCCCTTTTTACAGAACCCATTGAAAAAGTCATACAGTTTACAAGCAATAAGGTCAAGTGCTTTATTCTTGATTTAGTAAGGTCATCTCAATATTGAATATTGGATTCTGATAAAAGGACCTCCCTGAAAGCATGATTTGATTTGATTTGATGATATATTTGTTCTTTATAGAAAAATTCGTAATTACCTGAAATTAATAAACTGGGAAATATGTTTTCTTTTTCCTAGTTTTCTCGACAAAAGGGGGATGGAGAAGTAGAACGGATGGCTTATCAGGGATAAAGTTGAATATTTGAACGTAATAGAAATCATGTTTATTCAATATTCAATTATTTTTGAAATGTATTTGATTAATTTCTCTAGTATTCCATATTCAATTTACATGTTATAGAGGAGATGGTGGAATCTTTATATCAAAACCAAATAAAGTTAGGTAAGCAAATTGATGGGGGGGGGGAGGTGGTGAGAAAAAAAATTCAATATTAAAAAAATGTATATCTGAACTAAATTCTAGTTTTACTAGCAAAAAATAGACAAACCACATTTTGGAAAGACCACGATTGCGGTTATTCTGACAAAGTGAACCTCTAGGTTGCTTTTACGACCAATTTTAATATGCCAAACATATTAACTTCTTTACATATTGGAAATTTATAACTTCTTGGTTCTATTTAAAAGCTCTTCAGAATCAGGAGGTTTGATTTAACGCATAAAATAAAAAATAAAACTTATATAACTAGAATTAAACTAAAATTAGAAAATAAAATATTCAATCTTATTGTGTGCAAACAACAAACCTCCCTGGCTGTTGAGTGGTTGATATAAATTTTGGTTTTGATAATATTTTTAGCTCAGTTTGTATATCAAATAATCAATGGCCAGTTAGTATTAACTTTAGTATTAACTAGTACACATACCACAATAATATTGCTTAATCATTCTACAATTGTGACATTAATCTAAAAGGAGGCTTTTTAGTTTTAGTTATGGTTTTTTTTATTTCTAATCTCTTTGTCGTATAGCTTTACAGGGGCGGCTTATTAAATTTTCCAGGGTGGGGGTTGAATAATTTGCAAAGGAATTGAGTTTTGTCACAAACTCTGATTTTCTTATTCCTACATCTTTGCATTCTAATGTTGTAGACATTTGACATTTCAAACTATGACTTCTGTTAGATCAATAATATAAGTTTGAAATATCAAAGGTTTATGACATAGGGTTCATAAGATATAGGGATTAAAAAATCAGAATTTGTGGCAAGGACTCAATTCCTTTTGCGTCATAATTTGTTAACCCCATTGGCCAAAAATATCCCCCTTGAAATATTTAAATGTGTTCATTAATATGTCATACAGGGGGGTGCAATGGTCCTTTTTCATATCTCCCTGCAAGAAAATGTAAACTTTAACTTAACATAACATCAAAGGGGGGCAAATCACCCCCGAATGGTTACTCCCCCCCCCCATAATATTCTTTGTTCCTTTTTATGTTTTCTATAAAATATCTGTGTTGATGTTAAGACGCTAGTGCTTGTGAGATTGAAGAAGCAGGGAAGGATTATGCTGATTCTACGGAACACAAGAGTAAAACTCTAAGTTTGAGGTAAATATAGATTATGTAGATTCTACCGAACTAAAGAGTAGAATTTTTAGCTTAAGATAAATATAGATTATGCAGATTCTGGGGAATTAATCATTTCTTATCATTATTATATTAAATTTCTTACAGCCTGTGTTTAGTCTTAAACAGTAAATAAAATTATCTGTCTTCTTCACCATGTTTGATTATTCACAAAATCTGTTCTATAGATTTCCTGGAATCTTTATTAAACAGACAATATTTTAAGAGTTTGAAGATATCTGCAAAAGAGGGGGCAGGGGAAGTCACTTCTACAAGAGTTGAACTCTAAGCTATAATGTTAATATAATAAAGCTCTTCGCTGATATTATATATATATAAATATATACGTTAGCTATAGCTAGGGTTTTTCAATCGTTTTCAAAAACTATCGTTTCATTTTTGGAAAAAAACTATCGTTTTGAAAAACGTCCAACTCGTTTTGAACTTTTATAAAACGAATAACGATCTTTTTGAAAACGATCTTTTTATAAAACGATTTGCGACCGTTTTTTACGATTGTTTTTTTAAATATGATCGTTTAAAAAAAAATTTTCGCAATCATGTTAACGATCGTTAACAAAGGGTTGTCGTTAACGATCGTTTACGGTTTCGAATATGTACATAAAAATTGTCGTTTTTGGAAACACGATCGTTTAAAAAAAATTAAATGCAACTTTATTGAATGTCGTTTACGAAACGATCGTTAACGAAACGACGAGTTTTTAAAAGCGTTCGTGTTTGAAAACGATTGTTTTAAAACGACCATCGTTTTTAAAAACGGATCGTTTCGTTTTTGATTTTTTGTTTTTATAACGAAAATATCGTTTCAAAATGAAAACGTTAACATCCCTAGCTATAGCTGGCTAAACGATTTGACTAAAATTGGCTGACATTGTTTATGAAACCCATGGATATTGGATACCTTGGGGATAACATAGGCTAAAAAAATCGAAATATATTTTTCAAAAAAGAAAAAAAAGAAATTTTTTTCAAATGTTCTTTAAAATTTGACAGACAACGCCGGGCATTTCAGCTAGTATTAAGATACTTCTCTCTGATACTGCAGTACAAAGGTTTGTAAACAATTTTCAATTTTTTTTAAGGAACTGTATCCTCTCCTTTTCAGCTATTCGCAACTTCAGGTTATTCTTTGTAAATTTGTTATTATTGTTATTGTTGTTACTTTTGGTACGTTTGATGGTTGGTTGTTATTACTATCCGTATTTTGTTAAGATTGAATTTATATTTTTTATTTTGTAACAAATGTTTGTTATCATTATTATTGTTATTTTTAATTTTTTGCTTTGTGATCCATGTTATTGTTAAAACTCTTATTGTTAAAATTGTTTTTGTTTTTTTATATATTATTTTTGTTCTAAATTATTGTTTTTTTACAATTGAAATTTGTTATTATTTTGTTTGATTTTAAGTGTTGCTTTTCAATCCAACATTGCTGAAAGGGTTAACGGAATTTTGTTTTAAGAAACGTTTAACAAATATTTAGAATTACATATCGACACTCGTCAGATTCAAACTAGCTTTGTGTTGATCATAGGCCAGATTTAATAAATTGACAAAATTAGTTCAACTGGCTTTTCATGTGTCCACACTTCCGAATTATTTAATTTTTTAACACTCAGTTACTTTCCGATATTCATTAACTCTTCCTTTCAGATCAAAAGTTTAATATACAGGGTTACCCACAAAGAGTGAGGCTGTAGAGACGACTGTACGGAATTTGTATAGTCTGTTTCCTTATAATCATGATTCCCTGCAGCAGTAAATTTGGTTCTTTCTTTGCTAGATCATTTGAAGACTATTAAACATTAAAGACTTAATTTAACCTCAGATTCTTAATATTTTAACAGTTTTGTTCGTTTATACAGTGTCGTACTTTGTGGATAGCCCTATCGGATGTATTTTAGGAAAATAGTAAATATTGACGAGAGCTCCGAGGATTTGAATTTTCTGCACGGAATGCGGTTTCTCAGGGATACAAGATTATTTTATCTGAATATATCTTTAACATTTTTAGGACAGAGAGACACATTAAACAGTTGAATTGGACGGCGACTTTAAGACCCATAGAAATACGGCAATTGATTTTCAACAAAGTGTTAAATTATTCGGTTTATGACCACATAAAATGCGACATAAGATCTTAACATTCTTTCTTTTATCTTAATTGTTTAAAGCTTTTTGTAAACTGTATTAAATCAACAATAGTATTTACTTCTGTCAGACACAAAAATAAATATTTTTATTAGAATTTGGAACCTTGTGTTGGACATACAATATTTGCTTGCTATTCTTGAGAAACAAGTGAATTCAGTTTGTTTAGCACAAAAACGCGGATTTCTCGGCCACGATGAGTAGACTAAGGTTTAACGTTGTGAATCGGACATGCCATGAAGGGACACTTGAAAATTGAAAATGCATGCTTTGCAGACGGTACTACATTTGTATAAGAAATATTCAGAATAGAAGAAACCAGAGGACGTCCTAAGGGCGTCATGGGGACGTCAATAATTACCAGTGCAACGTCCGGCGACGCCATATTTTAGGTGTTGAGGACGTTTAACGCACAGCTTCTTACGTCCTCACGATCAAACTTTCGAAGTCGAAATGATGTCACTTTGGACGTCCAAATGACCAAACTTAGGTTAGATCTCCTGACATACCTCAACCAATCTCGACCAACATGGATTGGTCAGGTTAAGACCAGTATGAAACCAGTTAGGTTATACGACCTAACCCGACCTCACCTGACCAAACACGACCTAAGGGGACTGGTCATATTGCGACCAGTTTGGTAATCTGACGTAACCCGACCTAACCCAACCTATCTCGACCTAATGGGACTGGTCGCGCGATGTCGCTGGTTTCTATGGAATTGTATACGCAGTAATTGTACATTAGACAAACATTTCTTATACAAATGGTTATGGAGTACCGTCTGCAAAGCATGTATAATCATATGGTAGGGCGGGCCACGTCAGTTGTATCTCCCTTCTATTTCATACTCCTTGGTCGGATTAGTTGAGTATCAAAGGTTAATAATACTTGTATCCCTGTACACTGTTCAGTATGACCTGGGTTATACTTGGACATACTTTCTTTTTCTCTCTACCCTATCTAGATAATCTTAAGGTACAAATATATCAGAGGTTGAAAAGTTTTTATGTTCTGTTAGAATCCATTTATATATTTAGATTATCCCGAAACCTCTGTGCTTTCTTGTACTTTTGCCATAAATTTTAGTTTTTTCCCGAAATAGCTCACTTTAACAAAGAAGACATTTAAATATTTTGCAGGATTTCAGGATCCATTCAAGGATAAATGTATGAACGGGAAAAGTAATTATAAATTGAAATCATTATTAATCAATGCAAGCTACAATTGATACAATGTTTATAAATGAAAAGATTATCAGAATATATTAATTTTGTCGATTTTAACCATGAAACACAAGTAGGGTTTCCACGAAATGGCTAAATCTTTTGCGCTATTTTCGCGCAAATTTTGTTTGTTGCGAATTTTTGCGCTATTTTTGCGCATGAAACAATGAGTTTTGCGCGGTTTTACTCAATTTTTTTTTGCCCAATTTGCGCAAAACCGGAAATATTTTTTGCGAAAGTTGCGCATGAAAAAAATTTTTAGTAACCGCAAGTTTTACGCAAAATGTAACTTTTTAGGCAAATTGTCAAAAATTGATATTCTAAGATTAGAATTAAACAACTGAAGATTTTTTCCATACATAAAAAAATATTAACATACTAGTATGATAACAATTAAACTACACTTCCAGTTACAATAAGTTTAAATTAAGGGACCAAAATTAATAAAATAGAAATTAGAGAGTGTGAAACTTGGCCATATTTTAATCCTATTAAATAATTTTAAGTGAACCTTAAAAGCTTTGCCTAATCAAGTATATTCTTAAATTTGTTTAATCAAATTTCTGAAATCTTTTTAATCTCATATAAATTAATACAAGAAAGTAACCAATGCCTGAAGAATCCACTTTTAGTAAATATGCATGTCCAAAACTAAATTGTGAGATTTGAACTCTTCTTAACTGTCATTGGTCAATTATGTAAAAGTGACCAATAGGAAGAAACACACAACGTCACCAACCCTCTGATTTTCCCGAAATTGCGGAATTGCGCAAAACTCTAGTTGCGGAATTGGGCAAAACTTGAGTTTCGCAAAAGCGAAATAGGGCAATTTTGCGCAAAATGACTTTTGCGAATGATTGCGCAAATTGCTGTTTTTTTCGCGCAAAACTGATGCGCAAAGAAAGAAAAATTTTGCATTTTGTTCCGCAAAGATTGCGCAAATGTTTTGCGAATGGAAACCCTAAACACAAGACAAATGTATTTAAGGAGGAGTATTGTGGCAAAATACCCCACCATGGGCCACAAGCACATTAAAAAAAGATTCCACTCAATGTTTTTTATTTCAGCCATTGTTTGACGAGGCAAAGAGCTCCTTGAGTTTTCAGGCAGTTCTTCAGGGAACCTTTGCTGTTGATACTTTCTTCTTCATCAGGAAGCTAGAAATATTCAGGATTTTGTCCAGCGCTTAGGATCTGGATCCATTGGATCTGCTACATTTTGGATTCCTGGATCCGATCCGCTAAAATATGTTGATCCACGGATCCGGATCCGACTGTCAAAAATATTAAGTAAAACCAAAATCTGAACTGTTAAACCAAGAGATTTTTTCAAATTTCCTTACATCTGAATGGTTAATCCATTTTTTTCATTATGGAAACGCATCAAAATTAAATGTATCATGCACTAATTTTGTTAAAAATATTCATTTGTTAAAAATTAATTTCAAATATTTATAGGCTAGTAAATAATGGTGAAACAAATAAAATTACGTTTAATGTATGCCGCATGATCCTATTTAAAAGTTTCCACTCCCAAATTCTGTGAAATTTTTAACCAGAAAATTCTAACTGTCTATACTCAAGGCTTAAATTCTTCTAGAAAATTATTGCATTGAAAACTTATTGACATGAACATTTCAAGCATGATAATTGTAAAGTTGGTAAGACCATTAATGCACAATACACAATCATGTCAAGCTTTAATATGCAAATGTTTTGCAGAATGCAGATGGATATATAATCAGATAGAAGTATTCGTATTATTTACCAACTTTAGTCTTGCCATTAATTTATTTTACTTTCATCATACATATATATATATATATATATATTTGAAAGCTGTTGTGTCAAGTGGACTACTGTTTACCTACCTGTTCTTTAACAAGTTGACCAGCAAGCCTGGATCTGTAAACACTGTGATTGGTTGGAGTCAGCTGATCATTCATCGGTTTATTCGAATACTTCCTCCATATCTAGCTCTAGTAGTTCTTCTTGAACCTCTTTCATTCTTCCTTTGCAGGTTTCATCACTTTAATCACTGTGCTTATTAGTTCTGTAGACGTAATTTCATTTTACCCACAATTTAAAGAGTGGCATGTTTGATTCTCAATGATACCCTGATAATAGGATATATGAGAATTCCTTATTTTTCCGAGAAATTATTTCTAATTGCGGTTTCTCCACTTAAGTGACTTGAGGATTTCGATTATGAAGGAAAATTGTCAGAATTTTACACATTTCTGAGAGAACAACGAAAATATTTATTTTTTGTTCCTTAAAGAGCTAGTTTACTAGTTTACATGCCAATCCTTACAGAGAGGGTGACTTGAAATTATATTAAACGTCCCTTTACAGGAGCCTTCTTTTTTCGCCTTCAGTCCCTAACAACTTTTTGGTTAATCATATCTGATATGTTTCGGAAGAAATGCTATAATTTCTATACTTTGATTAATTTGGAGAATGTTTTAACTAAAACCTGATAAGCCTAAGCAACAAAATTGTCAATAATGGGTTAAGGATATTTTATAGTGTATCATTGTACAATATGTTCATAGTATTAACATAAACCACATAATTTCTGAAGGGGTCTTAACTGCTTTAGATCTCCAAAATTGAAAACAAAGAAAGATCAAAATAAGTACTGTACTTAATATATATTTATATATTGTAGTGGACCCCTGTGCCCGAGTAAACCTGGAGTAAACTGTGGAATGTATTGGTGGAGAAATATTCTCAATATTCAGGGAATCTTATATTGGCTCCTTGTCTTGGAGTAGTCACTTGACAGTCAGAATTTCAGTTTTTTTTCTCTCTTTAACTTCTTATTGACATGTATTTCAGATCAGTTATTCGAAAAATTTATACTTTTTTGATATAGTAAAGAATTATAAAATCTTGTTTGAATCTGAAAACACAATCTTTTTTGGGGTTATTCTTGTTGGTTTTGGCCCTTCTTTCAGATTAACGTCAATTGACCCTCCCGTTATAGAGCGGCATGTCTGATTCACACCAGTTCCTTCAAAGATTGTCTGAGCTGGGAACTTTTGATTTCTGGATATTGGGGTTAATGCTTGATCCACTCTTTTTCTTAATCTCGAGATTAATTAATGTTTGTTCTCCTCTTGTTATTAATCTCCAGATTAATTAACTGATCAGCTCTGATCAAGTATAGTTTGGATATCCATTTATTTTTATCTTGAAAACTAGTTATTTTCAAATGTGGTTTCCCTACAAAAGTGACAATGGAGAATTTTTCATAATTCAACACTTTTCAAGCTAGGAAACCGATATAATTATCTTCCACATTTTTTATCAAAATAGGTTTTCAAGGGTAGCGTTACGAATTAGGCTTGCCCGATAAAGTTGGATTATTTGTGTTTCACCTGTTGTAATTTTAAATGAACCTGATGGTTAACATGTTAAACTGTCAAAATATATCCCCACAAAAGAGGCCGTTTAATGAGATATATTACAAATTATAAAATCTATAGGGGCATTTCCTGTTAAAAAGACAATTATTTCTGCTGTTGATTGGCTTATTTGTTGGATCTTTTTGCAACCTTAGAAAATATATACTCCTAGATATTGTTCCAATATAGGGAAACGTTTACCTTTCAACTTCAGAACAGATATTCTTTATTCATATGCAGGGGTAAATAGTTTATTTGAAAAATTAGTACCCTTCCACCTCATGAAAAATCATGTTTATCCCACTAGCTACATAGACATTTTTGCACGAACTGGATAATATTTTTATAAGTTTTATCACTGATATGGTGAAAACATTTTAAAGGAAAATTAATGAATGTTTGTTTATGAAGCATTAAAAAGAGGCAAATTTTCAATTTCTCGGGGCCCTCAAATCTTTTGAATCATTACAGGCCCTCAAGCAATTGGGAAGGAGGTATTTCTAGAAATCTATATCCCTGTTCATAAAATTTACATATTTATGGGTTTCCCGTTCCGTATTCTAGAATTGTTTAGAAGTTCCAATCAACTTTAAACTTGAAGAATCATCTTCAAACTTTTTCAAGAAGGAAGCTCTATATAAACCTTCAAAATTCTCATATAGAGAAAGGCTAGTCAAAATGTTTGAGATAAAGAATTTATGAATAATTATTCAGTTTTTATGACTAAGGAAATTTTTTTAACTATAACCAAGGGTGCTTAAATTTAAGGGGGAAGGGGAAGGAAGACACAGATGATAAAAAGATATTTTCTGGAGCCAATAATATTTTATGTAAACAGAATTTCTTCCATTTCGATGAAATGTGCGCGGCATGGACTTGGTACCTTGCGCTAGATTTTCAATTCTTTGTTTTAACAGTTCCTGTTCTAGTCGTCTTTGTTCTAGTTCCGCCATTAGCTGCGGTAAGTAATTTTCTCTTTTATTCTCCATCTTTTTTGGCTTTAAAAAGTAAATCTGGAATTATTATTGTGTCAACTGGGAACAACAACAAAAAATCTCTTCAGTAAATTGTTCACACGATTTATGCTATTCTTTACCTGTAACCTCCTCAGTCCTCATTCAGACAATTATATCCCAGATTATAATTCTTTTTCACTTTAATCTCGAATTTAGTGTCTCTGATAATCCCACATGTGGCCTGAATCAGACTATAATCGGTTAAAATGTGGACAATTGTACCCTTATTGCTAAAAGTCACAAATGTTAACTACGTTAGACACGGTTTCCCTCTTATTTGTAATCTATGCTTGGATAATATATGGCATCTCTATTTTCTATATCAATCAACCTTTGAAAAAGTTTTCTGCCCTTGTTATTGTAAGTCTTTTCTATGTTTTCATAGATTTTGATTCGATATGGGATATGTGAAATTTTCAAGTGTTCGTAACAAGTTTTAAATTCTGCAGGTTTTAAAGTCCTTGCGTTTTATTTTTACTCCCGTAAGCTTTCTGGATAGGAGAGGGTCCATCTTAAAAACAACGCCTTTAAGGGAGAGACCGACTAAGTAACATATTAGAACATAAGAGTGCAGTATGAAAGAGACAAATTTGACAACAAAGAGACATGTTTGCAGTGTAATATTTCCATGCAAGAACATAATTTTGTGTGTAAAATTTCATCAGAAGGTATGGTCCGCAGAAGAAAGGTTTTATTACAATCATTTAATTACTTGGGCGAAGAATGTTGCAAAAATTCTACACTTGTTGTTTAGGAACATATTTTTCAATAGCAATTTGTGAAGAAATCAATCATTTCCTTATCATCATTATATTGAATTTCTTTTTTTTATTTGTTTGCAGATTCTTCTTAAATTTGTCTACTGTCGACTTTTCGATGAAAACTCCAGGAATCTTACAGAAAACGTTTGTGAAATTACAGAAACCAATATACTTTTTCTCAATCTGTTCAAATTATTGAACAACTAAATTTTTGTCTCACTTACATCAAGGTTATTAAATAATTGTAAAAAGCGACCATCTCGTCCGTAAAATTTCACAAACGAATTTAAACGCTGTTATTTATAAAGTATGCACCAGAAAACTGTCGTAATGCTATCAAATGAATCCTAAAATGTGTCTCTATGATTCTGCACTCTCGATTCAAATATGTTACCTCTCCCTTTAAAATTTTAATCTTTATTAGGTAATCTTGTTTGGTCTGTTGTTGGGTAGTTGGATATCAACCTTCCTGGTGGCAGGACAGTACAATGTATCCCCGGACCTGCTCAACTCTGTCTTCTCCTCAGCTAGCATTGTCTTCGACGTTATGTACGATAAACCTTGGACCAGGGCAGGACCGTATATTGTAGGACTGGTCTCAGGGTATACTTTACATAGGTAGTGTACAAAATGGTTGTAGGGGCGTATTCAAGAATCTTCCCAGAAAGAAATTCAAACTGTTATTCTTTGTGAGGTAGGGGGGGCTTACCACCCATGAGGGGACTTAAAACCCCCGAGAAATCATAGATTTCACTAATCCAGGGATCCGATCCGAAATCTGCCCCCCCCCCTCAAAAAAAAGAATAAAATTAAGGGTAGTCTGAAAATACATTATAGGTTAGAAAAAAAAACATGCTGATTTTTTGTTTAGATTATCCAAATCCGGTTTCCCAATAATGACCTTCTCCAAGCAGCTTGTTTGCTGGCTGGTAAGCACTGTGCTGGCTCTAGGTTTAGTCTATGGTCTGTACGAGGATAAGTTAACCAGCACACAAGCACAGCTTTACTCAACCTTCGCCCGGTCAACCTGGGCGCTAGTGCTAGCCTGGATCAGGTCAGGAAAGATTGCTTATACAGTTATTTTTCGCTGTTTTTTGAAATTTGAAACGAATGTTCGTCTTTGAATCGTTTTTCCAGTTTTTTTAGGAGAAAGATATTGCCAAGTTAAAAAGCAAACTTTAACATAATACAGTTTTGAAATCGTAACATTTTTATTAGATTTTTTTTCATAAACGATCCAAACGATTAACAACACGAATATAAAGTGGTCAGCGTTTAAATCAATACAATGAAGACGACTTTTCTATTTCAGTTTTTTTTCCTTCAAATTACAATTTTACAAGAGAACAACGATTAGCTTTTGTTTGACAGCCTCTTTTTGTTTCCATGTTTATGTGTATCCATGTTGTTTAAAAGCTTGGTAGAAATAAAAAATTAAACTCTAAAGTCGTCTTTATCATATATTTATATGTAAACAACGACGACTGTACCTTTCAGTGTACTGTTGGTTTATGGACCTGGCATAATAAGTCCATTGAAACCAAGCAAATATGATTTGATTTGATTTGACTTTTTTTGTACCTGTGCTGATTTTTCTTAACATTGTCCCCCCTTACCCCCCCCCCCCTCCCCTCCCTAATAGTCTATACGCCCTTGGAAACTATCTACGTTTTCGCAATTCGTCATCTGAGCATAAATGATGAAGAAATCCTTGTTTTCCTATCCGTAAATTGAATTTCCTTTGTGGATTCTCTTTTTTATGTAACTTTCAGATTTATGCTGCAGAAACAATATGGGGTAAATTGTCAGAATTTACCACTTTTTAGAAAGAAAAACGATGATATATCTTCCTTATTGATGCTCAGCTAAAGGAATAAATAATACAGTTGTAAAATTCTTATAATTTGGGGGTGACTAGAAATAACGTTGCCAGTGACTGGGGAAATCTGTCGAAGTTAAGATTTGTTATTTTTCAAAGACCATTATTTTTATTAGTGTAAGTTGCGGATCTGGATTCGGAGGGATTATAAACTGGATTCTCTCTCTCCCCGGCCTCCGACCTCTTTCCAGGTTGACCTACACAGCCTACCTCATTCATCCTCTGATCATGCTCCTCTTCTACTCTAACCTCGAGGTCCCGTACCACGGGAGCATCCTCGGCTACAGCCTCCAATATACAGGGTTTCTGCTGACCTCGTATGGAGCAGCACTTCTTTACTCCCTGGTCTTCGAGGCTCCTTGGATCAACATTCAGAAACTGTTCGGGATCTAGAACCGTCAAGAACCATCGAGCACCATGTAGAACCATCTGGAACCATAGAACCATCTAGAACCATTTAGAACCATCTAGAACTATTTAGAAATATCTAGTACTATCTAGAACCATCTAGATCCGTCTAGAACCATATAGAACCATATAGAACCATATAGAACCATATAAAACCATATAAAACCATCTAGAACCATCTAGAACCATCTAGAACCATCTAAAACCATATAGAACCATATAGAGAACCATCTAGAACCATCTAGAACCATCTAGAACCATCTAGAACCATCTAGTACCATCTAGTGCCATCTAGTACCATCTGGAACCATCTAGAATCATCTAGAACCATTAACGTAAATTTAAAAAAATATATTTTTGTTGTAAACATCTTTAAAGGGACTGGAAGCTCAATTTCAAGTGACTCTTTATGCAAAGCGGCAATGTCCGATTTACAACGGTATCCTTGAAAACTTTATCTGATCAATAATGTGGAAGATATTGTCGTTTAAAAGTGTTCAAATCTGATAATTCAGCTGTATGTTTTTCTGCGGTTGAAATGGACATTGTGCAAGTCACTTTTGTAAGTAAGATAAACATAAAAATAATGCGTTTTCAAAATGATAAAATTTAAAATCTAATTCATATTTTATCAGACAAAGCTTGAAGGTTTGTAGTTGATAAATTGGGCAATGTCATCTTTACATGGTGGGTCACATGAAATTACGTTAAAGTCCCTTTAAAAACTTTTAAGATCATGACCCCTGTATGGAAAATAAATGATAAATAGTGCGTATACTGTTAAGAAAAGATTCTGAAATATAGATACTACCGTTACCAGTGGATTACCACAATATCAGTTTTTCATATTCATGATATTCAGATCAAAAACATTGGTGAATTGGTCTAATAAAACATGAAAGTTTCATGTTTTATTAGACCAATTCACCAATGTTTTTTGTGAATTGTGGGGAATATTTCCGAAAAATATTTTTTATGTTTTTTTACCTGGAACTTTTTGTTATTTTTGCATTGACTAAAAATGTACAGTGACAACTAAAACACTACAGAATTTGTCGTCTTGGAATTCTTTCTTTTAATCAACGAGATTTCGCACTGTTTAGAAATACAAAATCCTTGGAGACATTTCATAATTTTAAGATAAATAAGACGAGGATTTATCTATTATATTGATATTCCTTTGCTTTTGAATTTTAAAGCACTTCAATAAGAATCCTGCATGCCTATTGCCTAAGGAATTGAGTCTTTGGAACAACATTTAAACCTCAATATCTTTAGAGCCCGATGTTGTAAACCTTTGATATTTCAAACTTAGATTATTTGATCTAACAGAATTTATAGTTTGAAATATCTAAAGTCTACAACATTTGGTTCCAAAGATATAGTGATTAGAAAATCAGAGTTTGTGGCAAAGACTCAATTCCTTAGTTTGATTGCCTGACTTGTTTCGGTAGTAGATTTCTTTACCTCGGGAAAGTAAAGAATAAAATAATTTTGACTCCTTTCAAACCTACGTTTACCACCTTCCCCGACATTATAATAGCGATTTCGGATACAATCTTGAACACAAGCTACATGGTCACAGTCATGCACAGCTTTGTCCCTTTAGTAAAAGTAAATTCAACATATATGAAGCGTGTCAACTTTGTTGCACCGGCTAGTCCTGTTGATTGGTTGTTTTATTAACCCAATGTCCGTGCGGTACAGTACAAACTGGGACCGGAAAGGTTGACCCGGCTCGTCAATAGAATTCCTTATTTTATTTTCTAACCTGACAATTTTAATTCCACTGGGAAAAAACTATTTTAAAACATTTTCATTTACATTTTGCACTTTAAACGATTCAATAAATGTTAATAAATAGCCTTATTGATTTCTTTTATTTTACTAAGCTGACTGATTATTAAGTCAACAATTATGGCTGCCCGTGCAGTATCAAAATATAAAAGCGACCTCAAATCTTATAATTTTATGATCTAACGCTAAAATTAAGACATCTGCATTAAATACAATCTATAAAAGGTAAATTAAAGATTTGACAAAGAGAAAAAACTACCACTACAGGAAATCATGATTATTAGGAAAAGATGCTTTTCAGAAATCCAAGGAAAATAGTTGAATGAAAGTTAGGTTAAGAATGAACCCAATCACTCTATACCTATGCCTAATGATATAAGCATCACTTTAAAAATTGATATTTGATATAGTTTTCCTAAAGTTATTCCAAGTTTCTAATCATAAGCGAAGATTTTAAGCAAAATCTTAAAAATTGAAGAGAAAGGCAAATATTAAGTTATTATGGAAGACAGACATTTTTAACTTGTCTAATTAGTGTCAAAAGGGAAGGGAAGCTTACACGATTTTAATATAGTTCTACAAACATACATTTTTACGAACAAGAAATGTCTTTAATATTATATTACTTATCAATATTATCTTGCTGCAAGAAAAAATTGAATCTATAGTTTTTGAAACTGATGATCTTTAAAAACGTGAATTTTAGCTATATGTTTTTATTTATGACACGTGACCTGGGAATACCTCAGCAAAATGCCCTTAAAAATAATGCTTGATTCTGTAAATAACTTCTGGATTCTTTCTTAAATTGTTGCATTTTTTGTTCTATTTTAACATTATTGTGGTTTTGACCAATGACCATATTTGTTTGATAAAGAAAACATTTGAATATTCGTTGCATAAATTGTAAATATAACATTTTTCGATTAAATAACGAACACATTAATTCTTGTATTAAATGTGTATTTTGACATTTAAATGTTTGATAAGTTTTTAGCCTGGAACTCTTAAATGAACAAACAAGACATTTATGAACAAACCTGTTCAACAGTTGTTCATCTTGTTCAACAGTTATAAATAAAATATTCCCCAGTGTCTGGGGGGGAGATGAGTCAGCGCCAGGGGGGAATTCCAGAGCAATTTCACTGATCCAGAGCTATTCCGTAGATCCAGGGATAATGGGAATACTTTCATTATCATCATTATACATATATATATATATACTAGCCTTAGAGGGCGCTTCGCGCCCATCTTCTAAATTAATTGTGAACATGTTCTCTTTGTGTACATCGTAAAACAAAACAAAAATAATTCGCGGATTTTCACAAAAAATTTCGTGGATTTTCAAAAATTTAATGAAGATCGAATTTTGATGGAGACAAATATTTGAAATTTTGATCATTCATAAACCTTCCCTGGAGTTCCTAGATGTCCCACAAAAAATTTGGGCTCGATCGGTTCAGCCGTTTTGACGTTTATTGGATACAAACAGACAAACAGACAAGCCAAATTTATATATAGATATATATATCTCAATTATATACATTTTTTTTTGGAATTTTGAAAAAATAAATGCCGACATCTGCTTAGCTTAGGTTCGTACCCGGACACCCATGGGTTCCCTAAGAAAATTCGGTCCAGCCGTTTGACCAGCTACTAGCTAACATACAAACAAATATAAATGAACAAAGAGCTTCATTATATAGATGACCCTCCATGCAAAGTTGGTAATGCCTGATTCACAAAAGTATCCTTAGATGAAACTTAAAGAATTTGAGCCGCCAAAGCCCGGTATAAATTAAGCACCGGCTTAAATCTTGAAACATTTGATACAATTTTAAGTGGAACCAACCATATTTAAACCGCGGCACAAATTTAAACCGCCGCTCAAATTCTTTAAATTCGGCCACTGAATCCCTTAATCGGATTAATAATATGAAGATAATGTTGTTTTTCTATGTTTCAAAGCGTTAATTCTGATTGTTCCTAATCCTACATATTATCCTACAGAAGTCACTTTTGTAGATAAGCCACGATTGAAATTGATTCGTATTCAAGACATTGATATCTAATTCAAACTTGAGCCCATTAAAGTTTTAAGGGTACTGTTGTGAATCGGGCAATGTCATCTTGAGTGCCACTTGAAATATTTATTGCTAGGTACATCAATACAGATTTAGGTAAATTCTGCACATATGTTTAAAGGTAGATTTATTGTAGACTTGTAAATAAATATTTATTTTATTTAGGTTGTATTTTTTATTATTGTTAAGGTGAAATTATTACAATTGAAGCTAGTTAGGAGCAACACTAGAAACCGGTAAAAAATAGAACTCGTACAGTGAGAACCAGAAAACTCTGGAATAGGAAGACTTTTAGACGCAATTTACGGTTTTAAATAGTCAGGTGTGCAGGACATGAAGTGATGAATACAGTAATTGTGCAGTGCACAACTTCACAAGCCATTTCATTTTATAATTAATTTTTACCTTTTGCTTTGTAACAACATTAAATACACTTTATATACTGTTTTCATGTCGTCTTCATATATAACAGTCTTCCGGGTTTTGCTGTAAATTAACTAATTATATGGAGTTTACGGAAGATGTATGTTGACTTGTAGAAATATTTATTTTGATTTACCTTATTTGTTGATTGATATAAACTGTAGAATTTTGATAGAAAAAGCACGACTAGCTTTGTTCAGATCTATAGAAGTGTAAACAGAAGAATCTAGCTCAATAGTATCATTTAATAGTATCAAATTCCCCAGACATTGGAATAAAATGTAAACTTCCTTTTAAACAATTTATTGAATGGCTGCCCCCCCCCCCCCCCCNTGGGGGGGGGGGGGGGTTAAATTTTATTAGAGACTGTACTGCAGGGAGCAGCAACAGATATAAATAAATAATATAGATGTTGGTAGATTAGTATGAAGCAGAGATAACAGAGTTACAGAGATCGATTAACATCTATAATATGCGATATTTTCCACAGCATGTTCTATTGTGTACAGTACTGTACACGACCAATCAGGAGACATCTGTATTCAGGGATATTTATGGATCTTTTGAATAGGAAAAAATGCAAAATCTTTAAAAATAGACAATATTCATAAACGTTTTGTTTTATGTGTAAAATTGGAGTATTTCTTAAAAAGTTGTAAAACTTAACCCCTGAATGCAACAAGTGGTCGCTAGATGTCAGTCAAAAAACATTACATGGAACCGTACCATAGCGTGCCGGGACCTCAGATAGGCATACACAGCCTGTACAGGTAGAGTGTATGAGCTGTCTGTGGTATGAAGCCATTAGGTGTTGGTTTTTCTTTTGTGTCAGAGCTACAGGGTTACCCGTAAAGAATGTAGCTTTAAAGTTAGAGACCGGCTACATGGTAGTTAAGCTGAAAGTACAGTATTGTACCAATGAGACATTTTTTAAGATGTGCAATTTTTATATAATAGCTTTCAGTTTTTTGTAATATTTCACCAGTTGTATTCAGCAGGAGAAACGTTTCTCATACAATTATTTTCCTGTAAAGACTAAT